ATATATATATATTGTATATACACAATGGTAAAGACCGTAACAACTTAAGAATATAAGTTTCTAAGATCATTTTGAGACGAAAATCTTGATAATAGAATATCGAGACCATAATAGTTTTTTTAATTATACAATCATATATTTAAAGTTAGCGAAGCATATCGTTTAAAATTCGCGTTTAAAATTTAAATATGATACAACGAAAATTTTTCAATCATAAACGCGTGAGCTTTAGATTTTACCCTACACATATCATACACACGCGCGCGCGCAACGTAAGTGCACACAATATCAATAATTTAACTTACCAACTATGCATTTGTAATGTAATACATTATTTGTGATATATAATATGTATAAACATTTATAGACTTGCCGGAACAATTAATGGCATATACAGCAAAGTGATCTTTGTTCAATTTTTCGTCAGTATTTTGGTATTGTGTTCAATTGTGTACCATTTGTCTTCTCATTTGACGCTTACAGACGTCGCCACCTTAATCGCCTACACATTCAGTATGTTTGTGCAGATTTTTGTTTATTGTTGGGCTGGAAATGAAGTTATGCTCAAGGTAATAACTGCTATAAAAACACATATTTGAATAGAAAAAAATATCTTTTATTGCAAAACAAAAACTCTACAAGGCTTCTGCAACTAACTTTTTTTGCTTATTCCATTTATTTTAATCAATTTTATTTGCGTAGAGTATTGGATTGAGCGAAATAGTGTATCATATGGATTGGATGTTGATGACAAACAGCGAACAAAAAGATCTACTAATGATTATGAAGCGTTGCACAAAACCTATTAAATTTACCAGCAGTTTTTTGGTGATATTATCTCTGGAATCTTATGGCAATGTCAGTTTTTAAAGATTTATAATATTTCTTACAAGTATAGTGCTTAATTCCTAAATTTTGATTTTACTTTGCAGCTTCTGAAGATGTCTTTCTCCGCATTTAATGTTCTGCAACAATTTTAAAAGTTTAATCTTTCGCAATACACTATGTATATATTATATAATATAATGGATCATTGCAAAATATATTGCAATATCTATTCTATAACACATGCGACTGACATTATGCGTTTTCTTAATCTAATAGAATATATGCATGAAACGCATTATACAAAATGATAAATAAAAATTGAATTGAATGAAATTGAATTAAATCAAATTGCAATATTTTCACATAAATTTTCGTAATGTTGCAACAAATTTTATCAACAATATAATTGTTCCTATACAGCACATTTCATCCAAAGGAACAATCTTAGGACATCTTCTCAATGTTTTAAGAAATCTTCTTGAATGTCTGTATAGGTTATATATATATATACATTTTAATTAACGTCTCAAAAATTCATGTTATTGTTGGTTTTTTTTCATATATTCTCGAGATAATTGATTTCAAATAATAAAACATGATCGCTTTGAAAAAAAAAAACATTTAAAGTTAAGTTCAGATTTTCAGAATTGTCAAAATATATATTCTTATGGTACGTTATGCATGAAGCGCATGATATATCATTTTATCCTTCTTTAATATTATTCTTTATTATTTTGATGAACAACAAGGACAAATTGAAGCATCATGCGCTTTATGAGAAATTCGGAACGCACCTTTATATTGGTTTTTTTGTACTGTTCATTTCTATATAACTTTATCCTATAAGAAATGTCATAATGTAGAATACGTAGATTGTATATAATATTGGGAGTACAAATTAGTTCGGTCCGTTTCCCTAAAGGCTCCAGCTGTTGTAAATGGTTCATAGTGACAGCTGATTTTGACGGTTTCAGAGAGGTTAATCTGCTAATAATATTCAGTTTATATCGCTTTGAGTTTCATATAAAAACCTTGATTTTTATTGTGTTTGAAACGTCGAATTTTGTATTAACTAAGCAACATTTGCGGGAGGTTTTGAGTTTCTGCTTTAATTGGAAGAAAAGTGCAGCTGAAGCCCATCGAATGCTTGTCGAAGTTTATGGTGACACTGCTCCAACTGATAAATCATGTAGAGAATGGTTTCGACGTTTCAAGGATAGAGATTTCAGCTCATTGAAGACAAACCTCGCTCATTGAAGACAAACCTCGCTCTGGACAGCCAAAAAAATCCGAAGACAAAGAATTAGAGGCATTACTCGAAGAAGATCAGAGTCAAACGCAAGAGGAGCTTGCAGAATCATTGGGGATAACTCAACAAACCGTTTTTGTACGATTGAAAGCCATGGGAATGATTCAAAAACAAGGAAATTGGGTGCCTTATGAACTGAAACCGAGAGACGTTAAAAGGCGATTTTTTCACTTGCGAACATCTGATTCAAAGACAACAGAGAAAAGGTTTTTTGCATCGGATTGTGACTGGAGATGAGAAGTGGATATTCTACAACAACCCCAAGAAGAAAAAATACTACACTAAGGCCGGTCAATCGTTGCCATCGACCTCAACATCAACACGGCCGAACATTCATGGTTCGAAGATCATGCTCTGTATCTAGTGGGACCAAAAGGGTCTTGTTTTACTGAGCTGCTGACCTGGTGATTCCATTACGGGCGATCTGTATCGGCTACAATTGATTCGTTTGAGTTGTGCATTGCGAGAAAAACGGTCGGAATACGAGCAAAGACATGATAAAGTTATTCTTCTTCATGACAACGCTCGGTCTCATGTCGCTAAAGTCGTAAAAAAATATTTGGAAATCTCAAATGGGATGTTTTACCGCACTCGCCGTATTCTCCGGACATTGCTCCTTCTGATTACTGATTGTTCCGAAGGATGCAGCAAGTCATCGGTTCACTTCTTTCGCAGAAATCGAAAATTGGTTCCAAAATTGGATTGCCTCCAAAGACGAGTCATTTTTTCGAGATGGAATTCGAAAATTGCCTGAGAAATGGAAAAAAGTAGTAGGCAGCGATGGACAATACTTTAATTGATCTGTTCATTCATTTTGTTTTGAAATAAATGTATTTTTGAACGGACCGAATTAATTTGTACTCCCAATATATTAATTATTAATCGATAAAATTATATTTCTTTAGAGATAATTCCATATATTAACATATTAAATATTCAAATTTGAAATTATAATGTACAATTTAGTTTTATACATAAACAATGATATTTATATAAGTTATTTGATTAATTCAGATAATAGAGAAAGAAAAATATTATTTCTAACGAGTCTTACATTTCTCTGTGCGATACTTTACGTATACAAGAATTGATACAAGAATTCTACCAGCAACCTTCGTACTTAGTAAAGAGACAAACTGCAATTATATAGGTACAGCAAGAAATATACGTATTCTCAACTTGTAGACAAGATAATAAAGTAAGGGAAATATAGTCTCTTATATTCGCGAATTATTTCCATTACTTTTCTGACATGTGAATAAACATTTTATTCGATGGGAATAGACAGTATGTTTAGATACAAGGGGTAAATGCACCCCTTGCTCATTACAAGTCGACCTTCACATCCGTTTCTATAGCTGTTATTACGCTATTCACATAAAAGGAAAATAAGCGTACTATAATAAATTATAATAGGCTCTGCGCTAATGACCGTCGCTGGCAGACTAAGACTAAGAAATTGAACGAATAAACTCATAGTCTCATGTAACACGAATATACAATTTTATTGTAGTTGAAATTTAATATTGCTTTTTCCTTCATTGAAACAAACTTACATATTAACATCTATTAATTTTGTTGTGTTATTAAAAATGTGAAAAGCAGTATTCCGAAAAAAGTGCACAACGGATATTTATAATTTTCTCTCTCTCTCTCTCTCTCTCTCTCTCTCTCTCTCTCTATCTCTATCTCTCTCTCTCTTCAATTGTTAATTTTAATGTCATACACGATCTACATCAGCGATTCCCAATATAGATCGCGACTCACTTTTTAAAACAACAAACATCAACGATTTATCTAGCTTTAGTAAATGTATAAATGGCTTTGTTAATCCTATATTAAATATAAAAAAATGATAAACAAGTAAATAAATTATTTATTATGTATATTAAAATGCTCTTTTAATTCTTTATAAAATATAATTTTATAAATTATTTCTTAGATATATAATAATAAGATATGTGTAAAGAATGTCTTTATTTCTCTTTTTTGTTGATAATAGCTTTGACATCGATATCAATGTGAATTGTTCAAACATAAAAATTTGAAAATTTTGGTTTATATCGATATTTGATTATTCCACATCGTTAAAAATCCAACTTCACTATATACAAAGTCGTATAAAAAACGCACGATTAATACAATGAAATTAATACACAATATTTAAAACAAATATTTTTTAAATATTGTGTGCTAATTGTGTAACAAAATAATTTAACATTCTAAATTTTTATATCGCGATCTACATTTGAGGAATCTCTGATCTATATATTAGGTGTAGGAAAAAGTTCGTAGCGTTTTTCCCGTTAGATGTAACGGGAAAAACGCCACGAACTTTTTCTCATACCTAATATTAAATAAATAATATTTATTGCCAAAAATCAAATAATCATATAATTTATAATAAATAAAGAATATAAATTTTTTTTTCGCAATATTGCATCAACAATTTTTTTCGATATATAGAAATACCTATATCTTTGTCACAATATCTTAATGAACTGATCATAAAGAGAATTACGAATATGCAAATGTTTTCTTTAAATTTTTTAATGTATACCATCGGTGGTGTATGGATGCCAATTGAATGGTCATCGAACATCGCTAAGCTTCTGTACAATGTGTTTACCACTGTTGTACTAGTTTTGTTATATTTTTTGATGATAACTCAATTCATGGATATCATTCTTGTCGTCGATAATATCGATGATTTCGCAACAAATACTTTAATGTTCTTAACTATTGTTGCTGTTACTTGTAAAGCAACAATCGTTGTAGTACGTCGGAAGGCGATCATCAACTTAGTGCAAGTATTATTGACGGCACCTTATAAACCTCGAAACGAGGACGAAATGACGATACAAACTAAATTTGATAAATTTATCAAGTGAGTTTTTGCCATTGTTATAATTCTTTGATAAATGTTTCGTCATCATTTGAAATCCCTATAATTTAAGTAAACGCTTAAATTCGCTTTTTCTAAATCTAACCAGCATTGAATTGATTTGAATTTGATTCAGGATAAAAAAATTATTTCTACGGCAAAAACAATCTAATTTTTTTTTCTAATTGAATTTTGTTTCTAAGATATGTCTATTTTCAACATTTAAACATAAATTAACAAATATTATATAACACATACACCTAAATAATTTAAAATGTTATTAAAATATATGTATATACAATATACATATACATATATACATACATATTTTATTCTTTATATATTACATTATGTATGTTTCTCATGGAATAATAATCGACTTTTGCAATAAAATTTGTTATAGATGTTTGTAAATATTAAAAATACAAATAATTTTCAATTACTATGACAGAAACATTTCGTAAATATAATTTTAATTATATATTTTTACAGATCATGCTCGATAAAATATTCGCTTTTAGCAACAAGTTCTGTTACTGGTGTTACAGTAAGATCTGTGCTAAATGCTATGCAAGGTCAATTACCTTATCGAGTATGGCTACCATATAATTTTAATATATCTCCAATGTTCTGGATTACATCTGTTCAACAAATCATAACAGTGATTTTTGTTACTATTATAAATGTCGGCACGGAAACTCTAGTTTTTGGATTATTTCTGCAAACATGCGCTCAGTTTGAAATCTTTGAAAGTCGTCTTCAAAAATTAGTGACTAATAAAACTAATAAATTAATGAAAAATAAAATTAGATATTTAGAACACTCTTCTCCTTCGTCAAATGAAGAAAAAACAATAATATCAAAATATATACATCATCACATCAAGATTTACAAGTTAGAATCATTTCTTCTGTGCATATATTCACATCTCTTTAGTGATGTTCGTCAATATAATATTGTATATGTATATTAGTTTTTCTATCTATATAAATTATCATCATAATAATAATAGTTAATATTACCTGTCTCTCTTTTTATGGATAGAAAGATATTTAAAGTCTCCCAAAAGAATCATTTATAATAACGCAATTATTTCGAACTTGATCGTGGAATTGTCAATTGGAAAAGATAATATTTTTAAAGTAATTTTATGGATCATTCCTTGCTAAAAAAAAAAAATAGATACATCATACTTCAATATTTATAAAAATTATGCAATTGCTCTTGTTAATAAATTCTAGAATATTTTACTTTTTTAAAATTAAGCATTTCTTAAAATTAAGCAAGTTATAATGTTATATGTAATAATAAGAAAATTTTCATTTACAACATAAATTTAGATATTATCATTGCAGATATGCCAGAACGGTAAACGTTATATTCAATCAGGTACTCTTTGTCCAATTCGTTGGCAGTATATTGGTATTATGTACAAGTGTATATTATCTGTCAGCACATAAAACACTATCCGAAACAGCCACTTTGATAGTATACACTATTTGTATGTTTGTACAAATTTATGTTTATTGTTGGTCGGGAAACGAAGTCATACTTAAGGTAAGATTGTATTCACAACTTAGTTAAAAAGATATACTTTGTAAATTAAATATAAAATCACGAATGTATCTTCATAATTAGAGTAAAGATAGCCTATTATGAGATATATGTATATTTTTAAAGGTAATTTATTTAATTGTAATTTATTTAATTTATAATCTTAGTTCCTTTTTTTATGTCATTTTTATGTCAATCTTGTAAGAGATCTATTCAAGTTTTATTGCCAAAAGTTAGCAATCGGTTATACTATTAGAAAATAAAATGATCTACATTTTATTATATATGAAAATTTTTATTAAAAAATTGCAAATTTTACTAATTCAAAAAAGGATTCTTAATATAAGACGCAAGGATTTCCTAAGATGGTATATACAATACTTCATAATAGGAAATCAAAAGGAAAAATAAAGAAATAAACTTTCTATACAGGTGATTCAAAATAACCTTTTGTCCTTGAAGAAACATATTCCTGGCTGTATTTTAAAACGATTTCTTTCGCAAAAATTCGTCCAAAGTTAGTTGGTTATAAAGAGAAGTTATAAAGAGAAATAGTTAGCGTATTATAAGTTTGAGTAGAGAAGGTAAGCAGGGACGGCGCGCTCACCGATGCTTGCAGGTGCTTACGCACTATTAGACTCAATAGTCACAGCAGTACACAAGCCTACAGTATATATCAAATTCTCTCTGCACCTGCATCGATGAACGCCCCTGCTTCCATACTCGATTTGTGATACGCTAACTATTTCTCTTTATAACTGAAAAACTAAGCTTCGGACAAATTTTTGCTAAAGGAAAAATCGTCTCAGAATACGGCTAAGAATATACCTCTTTAGAGACAAAAGGTTATTTTGAATCACCTTGTATAAACGCTTTTACAATACAAAAAGGGACGTAGCACATTTCAATCTCAATTATATATATATTGTATTATTATGTATATAATTATATACATAATAATTGTATAATTTTCCGATAACTGTCATTTTTAAATACAATAATCCTAAGATTAGAATTCATTATAGTTAGTATAATATATCAAACTTATATGCTTGTTATAAAATGAGAAAATAAAAAACTTTTTAATTTTCAGAAATTATAAGTATATACTTCTGAATACCTCATATTACAAATCCCATGTCTTACAATTTCATAATCATCGAATCTGATTTTTACAATTAAGCAAATCATCATATACTGTATTTTCCTTACTTTATTACTGCATGCAAAATTTATTGTTGAATATTTATTTATTATGCATACTAAGAAGATTTAAAGATTCATCTCAATAATAACTTGACAATATTCAATTTTATAAATTTTTTTTCACAACAATTGTGTATTAAATTATGAATTTTCTACTAAATAGATTTCATCCTGAGAATATTAAGCTCATAATGAAACTAATGATTATATACGGTTATTACTTACTTTAATGGAAACTCCGCATCTATTTCATATTAGGAGCCTATCCTATAATAGGCGATTTTACGAAATACGTATATATGTACTTACATGTATAAAAGAATGTTTATAAAATTCATGTATCGTGGCATATATATATATTTGTACAAAGTTCAATAAAATAATTCAGTAGATATTATTGTGTAAAGATAATTATTTTATTTATGTTGATAGAGTATGAGCATAGGAGATGCAATATATCATATGAACTGGCCTTCATTATCAGTCAACGAAAGAAAAGAATTATTAATGATCATGTTACGCAGCACACTTCCTATGAAATTTACCAGTAGCTTCTTGATAACTTTATCTCTCCAGTCTTACAGTAGTGTTCGTATTGCTCTTATTTTATGTTATTCTTATTGTAAACAAATATACCCAATCTTCTGTATTAATATATTTCTATCTTTTCATTTAGATCTTAAAACTATCATACTCGGCATTTAATGTATTACAAAAGTGAGACATAAATAATAAAAAGTGAGCTTGGATAATAATAATGTTATAGCATTTAATAATGTTTTAGTTACAAATTAATTATTGCAAATTTTTGCTCGCTCATTTATATCGTAAGCTTAACTTATTGTAAAGATGATGTTATTATAAAATATTGTAATTGTTAAACTTGCAGTTCTTCTCTGATACCTTAAATTCTACATTGCTGACAATAATTAGAGAAAACGAATATTGTCCTCCACAAAAATCAATATTATTAATCCATATTATATTAATATTCTAAATAAATTTAATATAGAATCGTACAAGAGATTGTAAGTATAATTGGAAAGAAAACGATTCAAAAATATTTGTGTGTAAAATAAAAAATAAAAATGCAATTCAACATACAAATGCACACACAATGAATATATATGTTTTGCACACTGCAATGCAATGCAATAATTGGATTTAATATACCAGTAGTGTTATACAACAATTTTGGCTTTGACATTACAGCCAAAACAGAATAATTTCTCAATCTATGCCACACATATGTAAATAAGATTAATACATAATTATTCTATATACTTGTTATATTCGACATATAATAGTTAATTTAGGAAATACTATACTATGTACTTTTTTTTATTTTTATCGTACTTGTCTTGCCATTTTATAACATAAAACTTTGCAATAAATACGATCTTCTACTTAATTCTATGGATATACGAAAAATATACAAATATTCTAAAAAAAAACACGCGAATCCAAAAAACATGCTAAAGACATTTTTAAAAAGATATCTCTAAAATTTTTCTAAAAAATGCTTTTTAGACGTCTTTCAGACTTTCTGAGAAGATTTGAAAATGATTTTTTTTTAAAGCATGTACAGCTATGTATTTATATTAGTAACTGTAATGTATCAAGAAGCGACACATTATATGTAATGTACCCTTTGAGGACAGGAGACATTTCTAATAAAGCAACTTGTAGAAGATTTTGTTTTCTAAGAGTTTTTGTGTCATTGAATTCGATTCTGGTCTTAGAATTCAAATTTCGAAAAAAATAATTTAATGTATAAATGATATTTGATTTAGAAGATTCTCGGTATCGCTGAATTTGAATGTAATGTCCTTTTAAAATTCGATGAAAACATCTCCATGAAGGAAAATCAAGTCACAGTACTTATTAATCAAACTTTGAAAGTTAGTGTGGAAACCAATATTTTATGCCAATTTCGATCTATTTCAGAAGTTGACCAGCAAAATAATTATAAGGGATTATCCTCTTTTATAATCTGTTTGTTCTCGATTTTTATGGAACTTGACCTGTAGACTAATTTAATAATATTTTATTCAAATCCAAAGACAAAAATAAAAAATTCAAGTTAGTAGATTCAATATGGCGCGTGCACACAATAGAGTTTTGCAAAAAATATCAAATTATTATAATTATAAATCTCGAAATTTTTAATTTAGAACTAACATCAAATTTCTGGATTTGCTTTATTTGAAGCTCATCAATCTAGCAATTGGATAATATTAAATTTCTAAACTGACTTTCAAATTTTGATTATGAATCCTATGACAAGTGATATAAAAAATTCTTTTAATTCAAGTTAATAAACAGATTATTTTTTAAAATTTACATTTTAGAATTCTAATGCAAAAATTCGAATTCAGGGATCCTAAAAATTCTTAGAAAACAAAACCTTCCATAAGTTACTTTGTTAAAAAGTTGCACTCTTTAAAGGATTAAGGATATACAATGCCCACATCACACATTATCTCTTATTTCATATAACAAATAAGGCTTTATGAAACGTACGATTTTTCACTCAATTCTGATAAACATGAAGATGTACAAATATTTTATTTGATGAAAACATAACTACAATGTGTTGTAAAAGACATCCATCGATGATTGCAAGTAGGAAATTTAATACAATTATAGTATATATACAAGAGCGGAAAAGAATGTACACATATTAAATGTCTAATCGACTTTATGTCGATTTTTTAATGACCGTTATTAATGATACTAGGGTTAAGAAGTTGAAGTACATAAAACTATACATAGTCTGTCGCAAGACGTGCTCGGTTACATTTAAATAAATTTTATTGATCGTTACAGTAGTGAAAAATTTGCCTGCTGCATTCGTTAATTCTGTTGTAATAACAGTTAGAATTGTAAGAAACGATATTCCGAAAGAGGTGCACGATAATGCTTATAAGGCCTTCTAATTGTATTCATATGAATGGTACATTGTATTACAGTTAATTGAGATCGTTCGCGATTCATAATTCAAGATAAAATTATACACAAAATAATATTGTCACGCGATTTATCGCAAATGTTTAATATTAAGTAAATATTCACTAGTAAGTACGAAGTTTGTGAAAATTAATTATATATCCAGAATATTTTATAAAATATTATATTGCCTCCTACACCTAAATTTAATTTTTCTTATATCATTTTACGGATCTTACATATCTTATATGTCTTATATATGAATATTCGGATATTTAATTTAATACATCTATTTAAGAAAAAATATTTTTTGCAATGTTTCAAATTTTTTCTTTTAGATATTTTACATATAGAAAAGGCTATACTTTTGTGCGTATCAATAACTTATTCACAAGAAGAAGGTAAAAAAGAGGTCAAAATATGCAAATACTTTCTCTAAATTTTTTAATATATAATCTTTGTGGTATATGGCGACCTAATGAGTGGTCATCAAATGGTGCAAAACTGCTGTATAATGTATTTACCTTTATGGTAATATTCTCGGAGTACTTTTTGGTGGTAACCCAATTTATGGATATAATTCTTATTGTCGATAATATTGACGATTTTGCCACTAATACTCTAATGTTCTTGACTATTGTTGCCGTATGTTGTAAAGCTACTATCGTTGTGATACGCCGGAATGCGATCAACAATTTGATGCAATTATTAATGGAGACACCATGTAAACCTTGTGACGAGGATGAAATAGCAATAAAAACGAAATTTGATACATTCATCAGGTATAATTAGAAAGATCTTACTCTCTATCTCTAGTGAAATATTAATATAACTCGCATAAAGTACCATCGGAAGAATTTAATTGGCGTACAGAACAAAGAATTTAATTAACCTTGTACAACGTATGTTTTAGAACTTCAGCCAGAAAGTCTTTTACTTAGTGTTGAATTTTGATGATATTACATTTTAAAATTACCATTGCTACATTTAAAAAGTAATAAATATATTTTGCTCTTAATTAAGAAAAACTTTTTATAAAATATACTTTTCCATCATTTTAAAACACGCGCACATTCACATACATATAGAATAAATTGTCATTATATATTTATTCAAATTAAAAATACAAATGAATTTTAATCTTAATCGTAACTATACAAAAGTTTACGAAATACAATTTCGTTTCTATATTTACAGGTCGTGTTTGATAAAATATATGCTTTTGTCGATGAGCTCTCTTACAGGCGTTACAATAGGATCAGTAGTGAACATCATGCAAGGTTATCTTCCTTATCGAATATGGTTACCATTTAATTACACTATACCCTTGGCATTTTGGACTATATCCATCCATCAGATTGTAACTTTAATTTTTGCTACCATGATAAATGTCAGCACGGATATTTTAGTCCTTGGATTATTTTTACATACGTGTGCCCAGTTTGAAATTTTCGAAAGTCGTCTTCACAAATTAGTGATTAGTAAAACAATTAACTATCTGGGAAATGCAGTCTCTTCATTGAATAAGGATAAAACAGAGATATCGGAATGCATACGCCATCATCTCAGCATTTACAAGTAAGAATTTCTATGCATATATGTTCAAATCCCTCTTTACATATATATATATTGTATATATGTGCGCGTGTGATTGCATGCGTATTTATTTTCTGTATTTAAATATCTAAAAATCAATATTGTCTAATATAATCATTGACGTTTATGATGGAAAGATGTTTAAACTAAAAAAAAATGTAAGTAACCAACTTGAAATTATTAAACAATTGGTATGACCTCGGAAACGGAGCACTCTCAATTTACACATTACTTTATTAGATGATGATTCACTGTGTCAAGTTGCGCGAAATTATAAATTATGTCTAAATGATTGCTCAAGACAAATATAGCTTTTGTTCTAGTAAATGATATATGTTAAAATCTTTTTTACAATTTTTAAATTTGTATGGGAATTATATTATAAAATTGTATGTCGAGATAATTACCTTTATCATACAGCAATTAATGTAAGACTAATATGAAACAATTAATAGATACGCCAAAATGGTAAATGTTATATTCAACCAGGTGCTCTTCGTTCAATTCTTTGCAAGTATACTGGTATTATGTACAAGCGTGTATTATCTATCAATACATATTAGAAATTTCTCTGGTATTCTGCCTTTTTTAGTGTACACTATTGGCATGTTTGTACAAATTTATATTTATTGCTGGTCCGGAAACGAAGTCATTCTTAAGGTAACAATACTCTACAAACTAATTGTATATCTTATTGTTAATGACATAAAGGAAATTATCGTGAATATTTTACATCTCAATTTGTTACAAAATTTCAAAAAATAATTCTGGTGACTTACTTGATAGATTTGGATTAATCTATATCTCTGGTAGCAAACTGACGTCAAAATGACGTAGCTTGCTACGTGGATATAGATGTACATGTTACGGGCAAAGTCCGCATAGTGCGCAGTGTTGACATTGTACGAGTTCCTATTGTACAATGTCAGCATTGCCAACTTGCGGACTTTGTCCGTAACATAAATACAAATTACGTATAGGTATATACAGATATTTATACATATAATACTAATAATGTTGATAAATATTAATATTCATTCGTATTGCGAAGTAATTATTGCATTTATGTTACGTTAACAGAGTATGAGTGTAGGAGACGCTGTATATTGTATGGATTGGTCACTATTATCAGTTAATGAAAAGAAACAATTGCTCATGGTCATGGTACGGAGCACAATTCCTATAAAATTCACAAGCAGCTTTTTAATAACCGTCTCCCTTCAATCTTATAGCAGTGTCAGTAATATTGTGTGTCATATTAGTATATTAGTATTTAGTTAACAAAATAGATATCTATACGTAATATTAGCAATAACGTATTTACTTGTAAAGTATATACATCAGAAAACTACATCGTAGAAATTTTTAATAATTGTAGCATATAATAACAGTAATAATCTATATAAACATTTTCTCTAATTTTCGTTTCAGATATTAAAACTATCATATTCGGCATTTAATATACTTCAGAAGTGAATATAAATAATTAAAAGTTTTCTAGGAAATGATATGTAGTTTTTCATAAAGTAAAATTAGTAAAATTTAAAAATTTCTGTTTATTTATTTCAACCTTACACTTCGTGTAATGACTCTAAAACATTTAATGTACGCATATTGAGTACATATACTTTACACAGTGAAATGCATATTTTAATTCAACTGGCACTAATTTTGACTTGAACGTAGAGTCAAGAAAAAGACATTGCCTAATCTATGCCATATACAATTTATTAGGCATAAGTTTGATATAATAGTTACCGCGTACTTTTGCTGTAATCAGCATATGTTCGAATAAGTTAATTTAGAAAATATAGTAGTCAACCTTTCATGGACCAGCAAACCCATTCTTCTTTATTTTGTAACTGCTCGCTCAAATTTTATAAAATTCGGCTTATGGAGTAATTTAATATTTTTTTGTTCAAATATAAAGTTTAAAAAGAATTCAAAATGAATTCAATGCGCCAGAATTTTTTTTAATAATTTAATCAGCATAAAATTTAGTTTTAGAAAACTTTTTATTACAATAATTAACAAAAAAGTAACATCAATTTCGCTTCATTTGAAGTTCGTCAGTATATATGCAAACAAATAATACTGATTCTGAACTCTACAAACTTTCAAACTTTTATTAGTCACAGAAAAGTATTCATAGTTGATTCTTATATTCAAGATCGTTTTAAGATGTCACGAATAAATCAGAGGATTATATATTAGCATCTTAAAACATTACTTAAGACAATCTTAAAATAAGAATGGACAATGAATACTAACCTTAGAATCTCCTTCAAGTTACTATTCCTATCAACATTTTCAGACTCAAATTCAATGATAGAAAAACCTTTCAAGAAAATGATAGAAAAATCTTTCAAGAAATACCTTTTAAAATCAATCAGATTACTTTTTGGAAATTTAAATTTTAAAATTTTGTTGCCAGAATCGAATTCCGCGATCTCAAAAATCCTTAAAAAATTTTTCATAAGATTTTTACTTTGTTAGAAAGCTTCGGTCCTCAAGGATTAAAAACATACAATATCGCATATTATTTTTTACTTCATATAATAAAGTAAGCCTTTATGAGGCATACGATCTTCTCAGTTCTGATGAACATGAAGATATACAAATATTTTATTAATTTTCGATGGGAACATAACTGCAATGTGCGTGGTTATAAAGAACAACGTCCCCCGATAGTTGCAAGTAAGAAAACTTCTACAATTATATTACTCATTCAAACGGAAAAGAACGTACACCCTGCAATAAATGTCTAATTGACTTTATGTCGATTTTTTAATGACTGTTATTAATAGTACTAGGGGTGAAGAGGTTGAAGTACGTAAAACTATACATAGTCTGTCGCAAGATGTGCTCGGTTACGTTTAAATGAATATTATTGATCATTACAACAGTGAATGTACTTTATGCAATATTTGAAAACATTTGTTAATTCTATTGTATTAGTAGCCAGAATTGTGACAAACGAGAAAGCTCCAAAAGAGGTGTGTAGTAAATGCTCATAATACTTTCTAATTTTATTAATCATATAATGATGCATTGCATTACAGTTAAATGAGACTCATAATTCGAGATAATATTATATATAAAATGACATTGTAACATACGTTAAGTAAACTTATCGGAAACGTTTCAGTATTACATTTAGTATTAAATAACTTAAACGGTTTGTGAAAATTAATTACATAAATTCATTTCATAAAATATTATTGCTTTCTACATTAAATTTAATTTGCCTTATGATTACCATACATGTGTATATTTCATCGCGCAGATATTTAATTTAATTAATTATTTAGCAATTTAAAAAATATATTTTTTACAGTGGTTTGAACGACTTTTTTAGATATTTTACATATAGAAAGAATCCATACTTTTGTGCTTATCGATAAGTTACACATAAAAAGAGAGGTCCAAATATGCAAATACTTTCTCTAAATTTTTTAATACATAGTCTTTGTGGTATATGGCGACCTAATGAGTGGTCATCAAACGGCGCAAAACTGATGTATAATGTATTTACCTTTATTGTAATATTCTCGGAATACTTTTTGGTGTTAACTCAATTTATGGATATAGTTCTTATTGTCGATAATATCGACGATTTTGCCACTAATACTCTAATGTTCCTAACTATTGTTGCTGTATGTTGTAAAGCGACTGTTGTTGTGGTACGTCGAAATACAATCACGAACTTGGTGCAAATATTGATGAAAACACCGTGTAAACCCTGTGACGAGGACGAAGTGGTAATACAAACAAAATATGATATGTTTATCAGGTAGATATTTATAGACCCGTATTCAGAACGCGCTTTTATCAATAAAAGCGCACTTTTATTTCGAAAATTCTATAGTAACGTAAATTATGTTAGCGCGATAACATCGTTGTAAGCACATTATGAATAGAGGGGGGGGGGGTCATTATTAAGAAGATTCTATAGTGAAACATTAGTAAAACTCGAACAAAATGTTATTACAAGAATTTAAGTATTTATGTATTATTATTATATTATATATACGAAACATATATGTTAGCATATACGAAACAATTCTCCACCAAAGGATTCAATTAGTATTGGTGAATATGAGAATTTTATTATTCGCCATAAAGTCTTCTACTTGTCGAAATTTGACGAATTTTTACAGTTATCATTGCTATATTTAAAAACATGATGTTATACTTTGTTTAATTCAGAGACTCTTAAAGTAAATATTCTCCAATAATTGGGTGTGGGAAAAAGTTCGTGGCATTTTTCCCGCTATGGCATTAAATGCTCAGCAGTCGGCAACTACTAATCGCATTGGCAACACTAGACGTGCGTTTTAAAAGTAACATTTTAACCTTTGTTTTGAGCCGAAAAAGATTGAAATCGGTGATCAAAAGTTATTTTATTTTGAAAATGGAAATAAATAAGGAAAAAATTCGCTACATTTTGCAGTATCACTACGATAAAGGCAAGAATGCTGCACAGGCTTGTGAAAAAATTTGCGCTATTTACGGTGAAGATACTCTATCAAAATCAGCAGCACGGAAATGGTTCGCTCGCTTTCGTGCTGGAAATTTCGATGTGAAAAATGACCCTCGCTTCGGTCAACCAATCACTGAAAAGTCTGATGAAATCATAGTAAAAGTCGAGCGTGATAAGCATGTAAGCACTGTGGAGATTGCCAGGGAACTAGGCATCGACCATAAAATAGTTTTAAATCATTTACACAAAGCTGGATACAAAAAGAAGCTCGATGTTTGAGTTTCTCACGAGTTGAGTGTTAGGAACATGATGGACCGAATTAACATTTGTGATACACTACTGAAACGGAATGAAATTGAGCCATTTCTGAAGAGAATGATAACTGTTAATGAAAAATGGATCACCTACGACAATTCAACTAGAAAAAAATCGTGGATAAAGAAAGGAAAGAAGGCGCAAGCAATCGCAAAATCTGGATTGACGAGGAAGAAGATGATGTTGTGGTGTGACTGGAAGGGAATCGTTCACTATGAGCTGTTATCGTCCAATCAAACAATTAATTCCGAATTTTACTGTGAACAACAATGAACTGCAGAGATTACAACAAGCAATTGAGAGGAAGCGGCCAGAATTAATCAATAGGAGAGGTGTCGTCTTCCATCACGACAACGCTCGACCACACACATCTTTGATGACTCGGCAAAAATTGCGAGAGCTTGGCTGAGAAGTTTTAATGCATCCACCGTATATTCCTGACATAGCACCCTCAAACTATCATTTGTTTAGGTCTCTGCAGAACTCTCTTAAAGTAAAGGTGTAAACCTAGTTTCAAAAGAGGCCTGTGAAAATCACTTGAAGCAGTTTTTCGATCAGAAACCACAGAAGTTCTATCGCGATGGAATTATGGCTCTGCCCCAAAAGTGGCAAAATATTATAGAAAATAATGGAGCATATTTGGTTTACATAAATTTCAATACTCTAAGAAAAACATTTTAATTTTACTAAAAAATCGCCACGAACTTTTTCCCAATATTTTAAAATAATGTACGCACAAATAAGCACACAATAATAATTACATTTTGTCATTGTAAACTTATGCAAATTAAAAGAAAGAATAAATTGTAAATCCAAGTTGTAAATATATAAAATGTATGAAAAATAATTTTGATTAATTTTATAATTACAGATCGTGTTCAATAAAATATTCACTTTTAGCAACAAGCTCCGTTACAGGCACTACAATAGGATCAGTATTAAACATTATGCAAGGTCATCTGCCCTATCGAATATGGCTGCCATATAATTACAATGTATCTACGATGTTTTGGGCTATATCTGTTCATCAAATCATAACTGTAATTTTTTCCGCCATGATAAATATTGGCACGGATACATTAGTCTTTGGATTAATTTTACATACATGTGCTCAGCTTAAAATTTTCGAAAGTCGTCTTCACAAATTAATAATTAATAGAACAATTAGGTATCTGGAAAATACATTCTCTCCGTCTAATAAAAACAAAATAGGGATATCAGAATGCATACGCCATCATCTCAGTATTTACAAGTAAGTCACATAATTTTTGTGCATATGTTCAAATATCTCTTTATATGTATGTGATTGCATGCGTAAATATTATTTATTTGTTATACTTAAAAATCATTAGTGTTTAATAAAACGATACTCATTGATGTTTATGACAAAGAGAGTTTTAATTTAAAAACATTATAAATAACTAACGTTAATTGAAATTAATAGACAACTGGTATGATCTCGAAAACGGAGTACTTTCAACTTTACTTTATTATATGGTAATTCTGTGTTCAAATTGTGTAGAACAAAAAATTATGTCTAAATGCTAGCACAAGACAATTCAATAACTTTTGTTCTAGTAAATGATATATATACGATAAAATTTTTTTACAATTTTTGGATTTGTATAGGAATCATTTAAAAAAATTATGTATGAAGACAGTACTACCTTATTCATAGCAATGCAAAACTAACATGAAATAATTATAGATACGCCAAAACGGTAAACATTGTATTTAACCAGGTGCTTTTCGTTCAATTCTTTGCAAGCATACTGGTATTATGTACAAGCGTATATTATCTGTCAATACATATTACAGAATTGTCTGGTACTGCAACTTTTTTAGTGTACACCATTGGCATGTTTGTACAAATCTATATTTATTGTTGGTCTGGAAACGAAGTCATTCTTAAGGTAACTATCGATGTTTTAAACACAAACTAAACAATAAATACAAGCTGATATATGTTAGTAAGGTAATAAAAAGAGTCATATATATTTTTCAATAAATCAATTTGTTATATAAAATTTCGAAAGAAAATAAATCCTACAACTTAATATATTTGATTAATTTGAAAATAGTCTATGGATGCTTTCCATTTGATGACATAAGTCGACACGTCTACCTAACTACATCCCCCCCCCCTCCCACCACACTTAATCAAATCTTAATGAATAAATTGTGTAATAATGTGCTATTTATTCGCTCTCAAAATCCACAAAAAAAATGTTTTGCGCTCATTTTGTTTAGCTAAAAAAAATTTTTTGTTGGAGGCTGAGTAGGCCTCTGACATGTCAGTCAGTCCCCCCCACGTATTAATAACAATCAATTTGGAAAAGTAAATACACAGAATTTATTCGCTATTTTTTATGCGTTTTCATATTCACAGTTTCAATTTTTGCGCTGCAATCCTTAAGGGATTTCCCTCTTGGAGCAAACAGTATTCGTATCTAATATACATACGTGATCACGTGACAGTCTATACTTCTAACTTTTCCCGCAAGGCGCGAATCATCCCGATTTTCCATGGATTTTCTGAAACTGTGTTTCGAGCCCACTTTTCTCGTGCTTATCTCATGAATTTTTTCGGTGCTTCTATCGTACATTATCTCATAAATATGCTGATAATACTAATATGTTAAATATAAATTTAAATAATACAGAATATGATCCGTAATATTCTAAAAATATATATGGGATATTGTTGTATTAGAATGTACTATAAAATATAAAATATATTAACAATTGCATAATCAGAGTATATTCTCAGAATATCATAAATAATGTCCTGAGGAAATTCTGAGATTAATAAATGGGCGGAAATAGGAATGTTCTGAGTATATCATTCTGAATACATATAGTACATGTGGCATATACATAACTTAAATTTCGTTAACATGTGCATTAATAGTCTTTTCAGTTACAAAGAATTTAAATTTTATTCATTAATAACCGAGAAAAAAAAATTTCATATATAATTATATATA